TCCAGATATACAGATGTCAAAATATCGTCATCGATCGAAATGTATGGCAGCCATTGAAGACATTTTCATGTAAATACGCATAGTGTCATTAATGACCGATTGGGTATACTGACTAGCGTCCGTATTCGAATAAAAATTTGTCTTTCTAAGTTAGCTGCTGTCTGTTATCTCCGACAATGTCACCGAATGGTCCACAGGCAATGTCTGGCAAATAAGTAAAGTTGCGTTTTTCGTTATCCGAATTTGAAGAGGTATAATCATACATTAATCTTCATCTTTTTAATTATTATAGAAGCTGGTTCTGCTTGAAACTGCTTATGTGAATAGATCGTATGGGGTGTAAATGGGGAGTGGTGGCCACCGCTGAGTACACAGAATACAATAATATCTTATGGTCGTAATTCATTTGAATACTTACTGATAGAGTAGTAGGTATCTCTGTGTTGAGGTGGTGAACCTGCAAACAACAATCTGACCTTAAGCAAAAGTTAGATATAAATATGTGTATATCTATGTGTTGAAGTGTACCCGTCCCCGCACAACATAATTGCAATTATTTCGTAGAACCACAGCTGCTCACCGAGGGTATAGGGTCCATACATCAAAAAGGTGAGGCTGCAAAGGGTATATGACTGTTTGCAAGAGGATCGATCTGTGGAAGTCCACATTTTGAAGAAACCGTGGAGAAGACTCTAGTGCCATCACACTATATGGTTGCGATCTATATAGATAAAACATACACTGCTTTGATTGTGGAAAGACTCTCGACAAGTCAGAATGGAAAAAATTTGTTTCCACAACATTCTCTTATTAAAAGTGATACTAACTAATAATAAAATATTAGTAAGAAACCTATCCCAGTACTTAACTTTTGAAAGACTACCTGAAAAATTAATATAATATGTATAAATTAGTATTTTATGTGCTATATGCAATATATATACGATATTAATATTAAATGCTTATTCCTTCTACCGTAATCACACAGACTGCCGTAATCACAGAGACTTAAGTAAGTCTTAAGTTTGTCACATATAAGTTTTAATATTAAATACTTTTTCAACACAATCGAAGCTATTTATGGACTGTTTTATATTTTCTTAACAAATAATTACGGAAATATTCCAAGAGAATATTCTTCAATAATTTCGCTGCTATCTTACAACGATCAAAAAGCAAGAACGAATTAAATAAATGTTTTTTAGTATTGTTTGCAGTGTTTTTTGGGGCGTCCTAATGACACGACCATAAAAATTATGTGCTTACCGCAAACTCTTAATTAAGCCAATTAACTTAATAATGGCTGACATTTCTTATAATTATTTTTAGTCATTTTTCCTATTTCCTCTGTGCTGAAATAATTTGCTTTCTCTTGTTCTGTGGACATTTGCAAATGTGGTTACTTTGCTGCCGTATGTCCTGAACAAAGGCCAGTATTAATTGTTTTCGGAGCGTCAGACCCCTTTTTTTTCATATAAATTCACTGAAAGTTTTTTGTTGTCTGTTTAATGTAATTTCATTTAATTCTATTCGTACTCATTTTCTTGAATATTTGTGTTAACTTCAGTAAAATAATTTCATAAATTAACAGAAAAAATATTTAAGGCGGGCGGTCCTGTTTATGTTAAGATTTCAAATGTGAGTGAAAACATTCACTGATTGATGAAGGATTCCTATCTTGAATGGGTGGAACAGTACTGTTGTTCTGTTGATTATATGAGATTTGGTTAAAGCAGTTACAAATAATGGTGTATTTCAAGTATTTGAAAGGTATGAAATTTGGTATTATAAGGAAAAAATAAAATAAAAGATATATGTACAATATTCATGCAAGTATCATATACGGATCATTTTTCAATGAAATGAATCTCTTTCTGTAAATTATCGTTTAATATTTAAAACAAAGTTAATTTTGGATTCCTCGCGGATTCAAGAGACCATAAATATAAATTCTTTCAGTTACTAGTTGGGTAAAAAAATATAATTGAAAATAAATAAAAATGATCCGCCTATAAAAGCCTTTGATTCGATACCCTCTGGTAAAAAGCACGGTAGAGAGAGTCTACCACATCTTTGATAACAGGACCAGGTGCCCAACGATATAAAAGCACTCGGTACTACCAACTGACGAATGCAGCCCACTGATCAGGTTAGCTAGAAGAATTTACTCGACATGACCATATATAACTCACGTCAATAAGGGATTAGCTCTTAAAACAAAAATAAATAACTATTTTATTTAATTTGTGAACATTTACTTACTTAATCCGAAAGTGCTGTCCACAACTTAACTTCAACAACTTCAACTCCCGCTATAGAAAATTGTAAATCTGTACAACTACTTCAGAGACATGCTTGAAAAAATTATATAAAAGTCAAGTACATGTCAATACCACTTTAGATATACGTCATTTAACTCTGCAAGACCTCCATATAAAAATACTGGATAGACACGAATCTAAAGCTATTAAAGGTATTGTCAAAGCTCTAAAATATGTACCAAATCAGTCAATTCAACACGAAGAAATAATTTATAATTCATCTCAATGAGCTAGCTGTTATCTTTTAAGGCAATTCCCTACTTGCAAAATCATTGAAGTCTTCTACAGAACAGTGGCTCCTGTCCTTTCCTTCGAATAGTAAATCCCTAATATTACTACAAAATTAATATCTTTTGATCACTTAGTTGGACTTTTAAAACTTTAACTATAAGTAGTTAACATTATATGAGCCGTATATATGAGTAGTTAAGCCGTATATATGATATTTTCTACTAAATTTCAAGCATTTTATCCTTAAATAACGTTAAGGAATTCATTTTAAAATGGTAGCGCTTATATCGTATCGATAAAATTAATTTAAAATAACTAAAGTAAAAAGTAAAAGAAACGTTTCAATAAATTTAAAACTTATTCCCTTAAATAAATCGAGAGTTTTCAAACTTTCGAAACTTGAAATGACTTTGCGAACTGCAAAAATTAATTTTGCAATAAACTTAATATTTTCACTGAAATGTTCGGAACTTCTGTGTTTTTCGAAAGGTTGTCAAAATAATTATAACTTAAATTGCACTATTAAAACTTTATAGAAAATAAATTTGAACACCTTCACTTCTTTAAAGGATCAAGACTGCAATATGTTGAAATAAACTAAAAACTTTAATCAGTTCAAATAAATGTTAAGAAAATTTATTTGTTTATTTGCAAGTAAAAATAGTAAAGAATGAAATCGAACTAATTTAAAAGATAAAAGATATAATAACTAAGATTACTATATATTTTGAATAAAATCTCGAAAAAAGGTATGCAAATTAGTCCGAAAGCTTTGGGTCGTCTTATAATCAAATTTTTTCATTAACAGACCTACTGAGACAAAACTAAGCCTTATTTTTGTATGATGTGGCATTCCGTGATCATTTTCTTGCTTACATTAATTATAAATATATCTATATAATATAATGATAATGATAAATAAATATATATATATGTATAATATATATATTTTATATATGATATATAGTATGTATTATACATAAAGATAAAATTTAAGTCTTACTTAAGGAAGCGATGATAATAGAGAGTTAAAATACTAATTATCAACTATAACATATAAGAACCGTTAAATCGAAAAAAGCACGATCTTAAAAAAGATTCTTGGTATATTGTTATCAATATACGGCAAAAAAATATATATGTTTTATTATTTTCAGTTAGCTAAATAAAAAGTGCTGCACCTAAAACTCCTTTTATTCATTCCAAAATACCGAATGATTTCTCTTACAATAATGCAAAATTGTAAAAGAAGAATCTGTTCCAGATTCCAAAAAAAAAATTACAACTCAAAGGCAGGAAAATTGTAAAATCTTTCATTTTTCTTATTGAATTGCAATCAGTGACGCAAAGTTAGTTTCTAAGAACTCCTTCCTTACAACTTGGCATGGCCTCAATGCCTAACTATGTTGAGAAGTGATTTCTGCTAAACTAAGGCAAACAGTCTAGTCCGAATGAGGGCAAAGGAATAATTTAATTTTTACGATTTACTACCCTTTCTCGTATTCCAGTTTTTAATTGCAGGGGCTGCTTTCGTATAGATAAATGCCCGAGATAGCTAAGAAGACTTTGACGGTAAGCTGCATTAAACTTTGTGTTTTAAAATAAAAAGTGCAAATGAATGAAGGTAAGAACGTGACAAAAGTGTTTTATTATTTTTATATTACTTTTTACAATTTTTTTTTTTGTTGTATTCCCCCTAGTAAGAAAATTTTAAACTTAACAAGGCTGGGATTGAAGCAAAGTGAAACTAGTTTCCTTAATGGAAGTTTATTTAGCACTAATCTTGAAAGCCTTAATACACGAGTAGTAAGATAGAATAGTGTCCTAAACTAATATTTATTAGTGATGTTACTTTAGTCCTTAAATATAAATTTATTTAAACAAATATGATCCTTTGCTGTAGAACGAAGTTAGAGATTTTTTTCCTCTTCCATTAATATTATTCATGAAATATAGTGCAAACTTTATGTTATGCGGAAAATATTTATGTATCCTGTATTTACTAATATTTAATTATTCACAGTTTGTCTAAGATTAAATTTATTAGTTCTATAACTGAAATGAAATTTGCATATATGCTTATTATTTTGTACAATAGTAAAGAGATTTATTAAAAAGCAAATTGAAGTTCAAGAAATTTTAAAGTACCTTTATCTAAACAATAGTATAAAATTTTTACTCATACCCTACATAAATTTTAATCATTCCCCATATATATTAAATATTTGTTATCAAATTTATTTTAACGATTTACTATATAAATTTGTATTTCTATTTATATCTCATATGCCTTTTTTTCAATTTAAAACATACAAAAAATTTATGTTGACATAAGTAAATTTTCTATAATATGGATAGTAAAATTTTATATCAAATGTTTCCTCAAAAATGAACACGTTTATTCTGCTCTTCCGTTAAACTTTTACAACTTCAAAATCTATAGATAAAATGGCTATGCGTGACGAAATTCTAGCTCAAATCCAATGTGCAGAATTGGCTGGATCTTACGAGCAAATGATCAAGTATTTGAAAGAATTGATTAAGCTGGACCCGAAATTAAATCCTGAAGCATTGCAGTGGTTATCGACTGCGTACGAAAGAGTCGTTGGCAATCGTCGTTATGTTTGGCTTGAAATGAATAACGAAAATCCAAAACCACGCTCGAGTTCTAAGTTTCATAAATTTCATGTTGATTCTAATCCAAATAAGGTCGAGAATGAGATTCGTCATTATTGCAGAGAAATTATTAATATGGTTACTGAAAAACTACTTCCAATCGCTGAAACACTTGATGAAAAGATTCTTTTCTACAAATTGCTTGGTGAGTACAATCATTATTTAACAGAAATTGAGAATGGTACTGCTTGTAGAGAAGCCAGAGATGCCGCTATCATTGGATATAGCACAGCTTATGAATTATCAAATGGGTATTTTGCATCTTGTAATCCCATCCGCTTAAGTTTGATTCTAAACTTCTCTACATTTCGCTACAATATTCTAAATCATTATGATCTTGCCTATCAAATGGCAGAACAAGCTTATAGTATTGCTACGGATGAACTGAACAATCTCGATGAAGAAGATAAGCCCATACCTATGCAAATTATTCAGTCTATACGCCAAAACTTGTCGACGTGGGACAGAGAAAGCAAGCATCGCGATTCGCGTAAGAAACGTGATGAAATAAAAATTTACGAACAAATGTATTGAATATATTTTTTATAAAGAAAATTTATTCATTAATTACTGTCAAATAATTTTGCAATAAATAAGTTCATTTTTCTATAAACTACTTTGGATTTTATGTTGCGCAAAACCGATATGAAAGGATTATTTTATTATAAAATAACCTGTACTTTATAATTGAATATCCAGATAGAGTTAGGTTAAATTCCTATTGAGATTTAATATACTTTTTTCTGTGAGAATTTAAAAGAGTGGCATACCACTTTTAGGAGAAAAAAAATATCAGTATAACCCAATTGAATCACATCTTGCGGCGAATAAGAGCTGATCCTTATTCGGAATCTGCCATTGCTGTTCATTTTAAATTTCTCCAAAAAATAAGGTAAGAACGTCGCATTAATACTCTCGAATCTATTTAATCTTTCTTTTTCTACTGAAGCCTGTTAATTTTTAACCATGTTAAGCACTAAACTCGTGCTTCAAGTGAACAGGTAGAATTCTTTATGTTTATTCCCAATATTATTCTTTAAGAAAGGAAAAACCTAACTATCAACATAACCATATAAGTTTGAAAGTAACTCCTTGTGATTTTAAAATAAACATGAGTATCAGGTTTTAAATCATTAAATCATTACTACTATCAGCTTTGGACAGATTGATAGATGTGTGATGGATGCAAACTAATTTAGTAGAATACAATATACACACCAGCGTTTTCGTGGTAACCCTGATACCAGAAGAAAAAGAAAAGGTGCTGGCTATGCAGAAATCATAATCTATACATTCACAACCTGAGATGGTTGAACAATTAATAAACGTTAGTTTCTACGGGGGAAAGTGCATATAAGATACCTAGCATAAGAAGCCTTAAATTAGTCGTCTGAAGATCATATTGCATTAAATAATATTTGATAATAGCTTGTAAATGCTATCTATGCTTGGAAATTTATAAAACGTAGTCAGCGGTGAACTTATAAAAAAGGGTAACATTATGATTATTAAAACTAAAAACAAAAGTTAATTAAAATTTAGAGAAAAAATTTAAAAAAAATTTATTAGTAAAGCAAACATTTTTTACTAAAAATGAGCACTTAGTAAACCGCAAAAAAATTGATATTCTCCATAGACCAAAAATTATTATCACTACTGCTTAAAAAAATATGGATGAAAGAAATCAAATTCGTCTAAAAGTGGAATACGCCGATTATACCCAAAACTATGAGGACATGGTTGTGGCATTAAAACAGCTTGTGAAGCTCGATCCCAGACTAAGTAATGATGAAATCTTTTATCTCTCTGTTGCTTATGAAGCAATCTTAGCTCAAAAAGAGAAGGGCTTAAGTGAATTGTCCAGCACGTCACCGTATTCATATCATGAGATTAGAAAAGCTAGAAATAATTACAAAAATTTATGCATAGAATTTCTTTACATGATTAACCTACAACTACTTCCCAATGCTGTGTCTTCATATCAAGAAATGATGTTGTATAGATTACTTGGTGAGTACAATTACAATTTGGTAAATAATGAAGATGAAGACGACGAAGCACGTAACGTTTATATAAAAGCAGCAAATGACAACTTAAAAAAAGGATTCAAGATGGCAAGACAAAATTTGGGTCATGCAAATCCTCTTCGATTAGCCTTAGCTTGTAAGTTTGCTGATTTTAAATACAAAATATTGCATGAGTATGACATTGCACTGGATATACTTGAGGACGAGTACAGTGCTGCTTTCCCACTTATGACAAGTTTGTCAGAAGAAGTTTTGAAGTCTGTGACTGTTTATATGGAAGCAATCGAGCATAACATACAAGTATGGGTAGATGAAAGATACGCCTCGATGTCTGAAAAATTAGATAATTAACTACAGTTTACAATTCTTCTAAATTCATCGTTAAAAATGTATTTAAAGTTTCTGAGTTATTATATTTTAGCATTAAATATTTTCATATACTAAACAAGACAAACTACAATATTAGGTGTTATGCATAAAAGTGTATCTACTGAATTTATAAAAGTTTTCGCTTGAAAGTAGACAAACGTAGTGCGCCACCGACGAGTACTTGAGATGACTATCCGTTTAGTGTCCACCATACTAAAAATTTTCGTTGGGTTCGTTTGGTCTTATAAATTCAGTGGCTCATAGGTTAAAGAACCCTTTTGGGAACTTTCGAGCGACTAGTAGGAAAATTTAATGAAATATAAAAGTTCCTGCCAAGTTTTAAACCAAATGCATACAGAAAATTCAACTTTCCTTGTATTTATTTAGTATTGAAAGATAGATGTACATTTTTAATGGACTGTTTAGAATCTTGAATGTTTTCACAACCTACTACAATTTAAAACAAAACTTTATCATGGTATATCAGACAAAAAACAAAAAAGTAAGTTAATGAGACCTACGAGTTGATATTATTAGAAAATAACATGAAAATCAGGCAAATAATAACTTGGAATAAAATATGTGAGCACTAAAACTCTTCACCCACAATAGTAAGAAGTCAGAGAAATGCTGTCAATTAATGAAGATACTACTTAACTACTCTGTCATAGATAGCCATGCCGATTAGATAAGTGTTCCTTTCAATGACCACTGTTGATTAAAGGATGAAAGATTACCTTTCGGCACTCGACAGAATCCATCTTCGTCTATTTGACTATTTCATCAGAAATGACTTCCCTTGAGTGACTGTCTGTTCCACTATAGTGTTTCCCAAATCCAAAATATTTAAGGCCGTCATTAAGACGAGTAAGACCTTTATATTCTTCATCAAACTCTAATAAAACTGTACATAATCTACTTAAACACCACTTACTAAAAACTACAAAGTTTTAATTTTATTACAAAGCCCATTATTCCAATACTCAAAAAGTATAAAGGATGAGTAATTAATAGACCATGTAATTGCAAAAAAATGTTCCTATTCTTTGCAATGCTAATGATTTTCTCTCTACTTTCTAATATAATTTAGTATTCATCGTATTGCTTATGTCTAAGTGTTTGTTAGATATGCAAAGTATACAGTGTAACATTTAGGGGATTCAGTAATTTTCATTATCTGGACTTTAGTCCCCATTTCAACAATTGTCTAATTAACCACACTAAGTATATGAATATCATCAGCCAGATAGAGTTTCATACCTATTTCTCTATTAAAATCAAACTAGACCCAATTAGTGCTACCTTTTTTATTGCCAAATGTGATTACATTAAGGTATGTATGTATTTCTGCTAAATTATGTACTATCTGCTTGCATGAACGAAGTGAAAAATATCTTTCGCAATTACTATGAGATGTGTTCATTAGTGATAGTTATTAATATGAAAATGAGCATTTACAGTGTACAACTTAAATATTTTAATAAATGATATGGTAAATTTAATTTTTCAAATTCCAGATTTTTTTGACCGGAAGCTAATTGAAAAATATATTGATTCCTTTTTGAATTATTTTAAACTTATATATATATATCTCATAAGTACATAATGTTTGAAGAGCAATGAATTGTATTCAATTAAGTTATTTAAAATATACAAGCGTATTTAAATTCATATTTTGAGGGTAATTCAATTTCGAAGAGTTATTTTAAAATAATTAAACGTAAATACACATTTACCTTAGGCAAACGTTGCAATTTATAAATATTTTATAAATATTAAATTTATTTACTGTTTATTATTAATGCAAGTTGAATTTTCAAATATAATTTAGTAGGAGAGCACTTAAAAATTTCAACTTGAACTTAATCCTTATTGCATAGTTTGGACACCTTTCGAATAAATTCATATATTGTCACAACACTTGAACGTCAATAACCATGACGTTATATGTATAAACATATATATGTATGACGTAGATATATTCTTAGTCCAAAAGTAATTCTCTGATGCTTAGAAATTATTTTTAAAATTCTCTAAAGCCGATAACAGATTTGTTATTAAATTTTAGTATAAGTAATTTGAGTTGACATAATCCAAAATTTAATCGAAATTCTGTAAACTACAAATAAGAATTTTTGTAAACATTGAAGTTAAAATTATGTTTTTTATTAGGATTGAAAAATTGTCTTCTTAATTTATAGCATAGGAAATCTGGTAAGGGATCAAAGTTATTTGTAATTAAAAATTGTAATATGCAAAATTTTACATAGAAA